ACAGAAACAAAAATCTAGAAGCCCTGAGGGCACTGTTGGTCGAGTTGTTAGGTCGCGCACCCCACGTACAGAGGCTGTGATCCTGGAAGTGGGCTGCCCAGGTTCGGATTCCACCTGTGGCTCCTTTCCCACGGGTCTTTCCCCACTCTTTTCTCTTTCTCCCTGGTTTCCTTACCCTATCCACTGTCCTTTCTCTACAATAAAGGCACTAAAAGCCCCCCCAAGAAAATACACATCAAATATATATATAGAAGCCCTAAGCACCCAATATTGGGAATTAGTTTTGTGAATTAGAGGGATTAATTTATTTCTTAATCACCTGTCTGATAAAATAGATATTGTGTTTTTAAGCTTTGTTATTTTTTCTGATCAAGTGTTCATTAAAATTGTCGTAATTTTCTCTGGTTTGTTTCTTTTTCCTTGTTTTTTTTTTTTTTTGCCAATTTGTGTTTCATGTTAATTGTCTTAATTTTTGTCTTTCCCCTTGTGTTTCTCACTCCTACTGTGAATTGTTACCGTTTTAGTCTTGAGCTTCTTGTTTCATTTTGTAGTTCTTGGTCCCAGTGCTGCTTGTCTTGTTTTCTCTCGACTGATTGATTGATTCGCCTGATCAGTTTCACCTGTGTTTTGTCTGTCGCACCTGTTTTTAATTACCCTTCGTAATCAGTGCAACTTCTTTTCTTGCTTTCTAGATTTTTTCTGCCACCAACTCTTAACTCTCAAACTTGTGGGGAGAATGCACATCACTACGTCCACGGTACATCCTTGTGATGTCAATTTACCAAGAGAAACTAACTTCCCATAACCAATCAATCAAGCTACACCACAAAATCTACGAGATCTCAGTGTAAGAAAGATTGGCCTGAAACACTACAGAGAGGTCTAGCAGACTCCTGGACAGATGTTGAGGGTCTCCATGAACACTGATCAACAACCACTCTTCTAGTTGACCGTTGGTTTGGATACGTTTTGACTACAGTGCTGATTATCATATAACATTTACTTAATGTCAGACTCTATCTTCCTGCTATGTGTTCTATGCTACAGTGCAGCTAACAGTTGGTTGATTTATGTTATACTTGTGCTGCTGTTGTGTGAGTGCACACTGGGTTTTTCCCAACGGAGGGCTCTGGGGCTCTGCAGTATAACAGCCCCTTTAAGCACTGCATACAGCATGAAGCATCACACATGAAAAGCCAATGCTCTTACACAAGAACCTGCTTGAACACAGAAATACATAGAGGCTTGCTCTTACGGGCAGATAAACAACCCTAACATCATATTTAGTCCATATGACTTAATTTCTGAGTTGGAGAACTGTAAATTGCAGAAGAGATTTTGATGTTGTTGTTTTCTCCTTCTAGGCTAACAAGTACAAGCCCTGTAAGCTCACGTTACTCTAGTGAGAAGCAGAAGGTCAAACTCAAAGTCTTGACAAATTGAAGATGCTAAACACACTATGCAAAATAAAGGAACCAGTTCATAACTTTGACACCGGACCATTGACCTGTCCGTAGCATGTTTTTTTTATTTTACCATCCATGACTTCTCGTACTGATTCACTTGAATCTTTAACATTGATATTGTTTACCGATTCACACGGGTTTATCATTACACCTCTATGGAAGGGAAACTTCCCAAAAGTCTGCCCGTCTGTACGCTTAGCAGAGAACATTAAATACAACGACAGAATGAAGAATCTCACCTGTTTAGTTGGCAACTTGAAACATGTGCTAAGCTACCAATTAGCAAGTCGTAGCCTAAGCAGACCCAAATATTCAACCCTTTCTCCAGACACAACTCGCAGAAGTCACCACGTTTATTGCCCGTTGTACGGTGAAAGTTGACGGACTTATGGTGTAGTTGGGAGTGAAAACTTTTACAACATGTTTAATCCATTTAAGTCTCGTAAGAGGACCAGAAATGTTTAGCAATTAAAAACTGAGCTGTCTGATGCAAGGGCGACTGCCAATCCCATGTCTGAACGTCACGTTAAATTATATGAGACAATCACAGAAAAATTATAAGAGAATGATGCCTTGAAGGGAATTGGGCACATTTGTTTAAAATGTAAGCAGAGCTTTAAAAGCCAACCTTTTTAGGAGTGCATATGTGAAAACAGCTTTAGTGACAAAATCTATTTATTTCCCCATATACCTGTCAAAGGGAGACACCTGGGCATGGATATGTGATATCAATAATGTCAGAATATATGTTTGAACAGTTGGCCAGTTCTCTTGTCTCTTGGAAATGTAATGAAGATAAGGGCAGTTTTATTTTGAACAGCTACACATTTCTTCTCAGTTCCATGAGTTAATTTTTTTATTTTTTTTTGTTTGGATTCAATTATCAATTTGTATCTGATCGGATCTGTCCAATCGACTCCAATTGCACCGAATCATTAAATATTTCAATAAATCATCCGGACTTGGATTTTGGCTCTGAAGAATTAAATTGGATTGAATCTTCTTGAAAAGGAGAAATGTACACCCCTACTTTAAACCCTTTTACAAACAGACCTATTCACTTCAGTTCCCCCGTTCAAAGGATGGGTAAAAAGTCAAGACAGTCGCTGATCACGTTCATGAGCTCAACATGTTCACACGTCATACTTAAAAGTTAACACTCAGAAACACATAAACAGACAGAAATAACCAGAAACACCACAAGGGGAACTCTCTCGAATATATAATTAAGCCAGGCTCAAAAGCATAGAAAATGTATTTCATGTCTCCTGTGTCATTTCAGAGCATGAAGTGTGTCCCTCTGCTGTCAGAAAAAAGCCTTTTATAGCCCACATGTGGGAAAAATCAATGAGAACATTTCAGACGAGTTGAGCAACTATCAAATGTGAGCTAATTAAAATGAGTGGACAGCGTTGAGAAAGCTACACACTCTACATGGGGAGTGTTGACCTGTCATCCATTAAGCACATGTTCACACATGTAAAAAAAACTCTTGAATTCTGTTTTTTAAAACAGGCCATCTTCACTTCCTTTCCTCAAATGTGACTGTGTGTGTGTGTGTGTGTGTGTGTGTGTGTATGTGTGTGTGTGGCACTGGACACACATCTAAGCTACCTGTGTGACCTATACACCGTGGAGAGGTACATCGACCACAATCCCCTGCTTACAAACACATGCAGATGAGTACACATCTCCCCCACTCTCTCACCTCTGAAGCAACATATAGTGAATCCTCATGAGCTCTCTGTGGGGGTGTGTGTGCTTATCTATGTATGCATGTTTGTGTGATTCTAAGTCCTGCTTCTATGCTCGGTCTAAGCTTACTTGAGAGTTCCTTTTGTGTGTGGTGGATTTGACCTTGAGTTACCTCCTGTACATTAAACCAAGGTCATCAGTGATGTTTCTCAAAGCAGAAAGGCTAACCTAAAGACATCAAGTATTTCAACACACACTTTAGATCTTTGTGGACATTTCATGTGTGAAATGTAGCAAAAATCTGCTTACATCCATCTGTGTAACTCTGGTAAGGATTTGGGATATGTATTCAAAATATCTAAAAGAGTAAATTACCATCCAAAAGAGCCCCAGTAGGAGATACTTTAAACAGGAGGGGTTGAAACATAATCATTTAAAAGTCTCTGCAGAGCATGCGATTGTCAGTAGACACTCAACAGCTAACTTAACATGTATGCAAGTTGTACACTGAGGGGAGACTGTCCAATGATTGATTGAACTGCAGCATTCACTAGACGGACGGAGAAATAAAACAAAAAATTGTTCTGAAAGTGTTGCTAGGAAATGCATTACTGAGAATGGGACAGATGTGAGGTCACAGCAACCCTTTAACTTAAAAAAATCTATATAATCAGTTAATCCCACAAAATGAGACAGGGATAATAGCCTGAAATGTAATTTCTACAACAGTATGATGCCAGTTGACCTTTGACCTTTAGGGTAAAAAGGTCAGAGAGGGATAGCATGGCTAAGTCCATAGAGATTTTAGAACCACATGGTCATTCTAGTCCCAGTACAGCCAAAATACTGAAGTTTGGACTGGCTGCTGGAGAGGTGCCAGTTCTCTTTTCGGAGCACGGCAGAGATGCCCTTAAGCAAAGCACCTAGCCCCCAAAACTGCTCAGGGTGCTCTTTCCTGTGCAGCCCCCTCATTCTGTAACCTTTGACACCTCTCCATCAAGTGGATGTTTTCTAAGAATTTAAAGAGTTTTTTTCCTACAGGCATTTTTGTGATGTCATATTCATGAGAATAGGATGGAATAGATGGAAAACTATAAAATATGAACCATCGGGCCAGGGGCGTCGGTGTAGCTCAAGTGTTGTAGCAGGCGCTCCATGTACAGAGACCACAGTCCTGGTCGCACTGGTCTTAGGTTTGATTCTTGATTCCAGATTCTTGGTGCATGTAATCCCCCAATCACTGTCCCCACATGTCCTGTTTCTCTAGAAATGTCCTTTCAAATAAAGGCTAAAATCTCCCAAATAATCTGAAGAAAAACAAACAGCCATGGTTGCTGTGGGACAAAGGCACAAAAAACATCCGCTTGTGATTTTACAGTGAGGTTACATGATGTGCTGGACCTTTTTTGTTTTGTCTTAGCCTGGGCACGGTGACTTCCTAATATCTCTGATGGGTACATGTGAAGTGTCACTGAATAAACTCTTGATAGCTGACCATGACAATTGTTGCTGCTGACTGAGCATATTAAGGTTGGCGAAAGGATTAAGACACTGTAACCATCCTTTGTTGATATGATAAGAAAAGAAACAAGCGTCTGCACAGTAGCTGCCATCCATTTTTTCATTTCACTGAATTTCATCTAATTATCTGGAAAAGCCTCTTAAAATACCAACCTAATTATATGCAATCCTTAAAGACAACAGTGTAAACTGGGTCCTGTAATAAATGTTTCTGAGAAGAACAGTGTAATCATTAAAACTAATGTTCTAACTGTATTGTGTCATGGGGTATGAACAGTTATGAATTGAAATACAAGAAAAGAGTTACCCTGTGCCTACCGTTGTACAGACTCTGGTGGTGGGAGGCCATCTCATCTCCTGCTGCCGCCCTCCTCTGACCTCCATCCCTGCTGGGGGAGCCACTGGTATACCTCCCATGCTCCCCACCAGGGCTGTGCTGGTAGTGATGGTGGTGCCTTATGGACTCAGGACTACCAACAATCACCCTTCCTTTCCTAAGATGCTCAGGTGTCACCATGGCCGCATGTTTGGCCTCAGGACTCCCACAGCCGCCCCCTGCCATGTGAACCTGCCTGTGTCTTTGACTCAGCTCTGGGCTGGACTTGGCTGATCCCTTCCCACAGCCTGGTGATGCCTGCCCTGACATCGAGAGCTGTTTCTGGGCTAGAAGGTCAGAGCTACAGGGTTGGTGGTGGGACTCGCAGGGAAGTCTGGTAGGGGACTTGCTGTGTTTCTCTGGGCTGTGTCCTCTTAGTCCACGGGGATCCAAGTTGGTGAGGGATCCCCCACGGGGGCGGCAAGACTGAGGGAAGGTGTGGTACTCCGGGGTGGAGCTATGCCTCCTTCCTGTGGAATCACACACCTCTCCAGGTTTGTGGTGGTGTTCTGTGGAGCCACACCTTGACCCAGATCCAGGCATGGTGTTGGAGCCCATTGGAGGGGGTTTAAGGTGGGGGTTATCTGGGCTATCTGTACTCCCCGCGCTAGAGGTGCTGCTCCCATCACCGACGTCCCTTAGCAGGCCAGGTGCCGGGACACCTCCACCCAGCTGGGACAAGCTGCTCTGACTGTCAATGGAGCTCCTGCGCCCAGGACCTCCTGGCCCGCCTCCGCCCCCTCCTGTCATAGCCGCAGCCCTCTCCTCCTCCAGCATTAAGCACACCTCCTTTAGCTCCAGGTTCTCCCGGATCACCTCCACCTGCCGCTGCTCCAGCTCCTTCAGTTTCTGCAGGTAGATGGCCACCTCCTTCCTCATCAGGCCGGCGCTGTAGCGGCCCAGACGCTGCCACTCCCGAGACACCTTCTTCCCCTTCTGACGGTCGTCGTCTAGGAAGCAGCACAGGTCCCGCAGCTCCTGGTTATCCTCCTGCAGTTTCTGGTTCACGTCCTGGTTTACACACACACACACACACACACACACACACACACACACACACACACACACACACACACACACACACACACACACACACACACACACACACACACACACACACACACACACACACAAAGTGGCACAGTTCGGGATTACGTGCATATCACTTTTGGGAATGATAATTCTATGATTGAGAAAAATGTAACCATCATGCGTTTAGCATGTGAGCTAACATTGTTAATTGATTAAAAGAACATTAACAACCATTTTGATGACTGTATTATTGCTGGTTCAGTAAAATACTCTCAGCTTGTCATTGCCTGGTATGGTAGTGAACTAAATATCTTTCTGTTTTGACTTGTGATGAGCACACAGGGCTCTCAGGTAGTGGAATCATATTATATTTGACAATTATGCTAAAAATTATTCATCCTGTTTATATTATATTTATATATTATATTTTCAAATTGTCTTTTAATCAACAAAGATGATGCCTGGTAGAAAAAAATAGGCTCATAGGGCCAAGTCCTCCCTTATTCTTCCAACTACATGCAGACGATTGTTTTGCGGATTGGTGGAACCTGAAGTAGCAACCAAACCAAGAGTTAATACATGATATACTCCATGTGATCTGCAGAGTCCCTCTGCACCTTTAAGAAAAAGCTAAAGACCCAGCTCTTTCATGAATACCTACTAACTGAATGATGATGGTCTCCATATTATTGATGATGATGATGGTAATGACGATGGTTTTTGTTTGATAACGACGACTTATAAGATGGTTTCTATACTGATTAGAGCTCTCAAGAACTGCCCTCAATGTTGTGCTTTGCCTCTGGTCACTTCCTGTCAGCACCTGTTTATCCAATCGGACTCAAAGCTGATCGTTTGCTCTTACTGACATTGTTCCCTTTTTTCTAGATCCTTGCTTGTGTTGTACTTACTCTCTGATGTACGTCGCTTTGGATAAAAGCGTCTGCTAACTGAATTGTAGGTATGACTAAATGGACTTCATTCGTACAGCCCAAGCACAGTAGCATCCTCTTCCACTCTCTTCCATATAGTCTAAATAAGTCACAGGTGTCATGGCACACCCCTGATTTGCAGATTATTTGAGGTAAATTCATTCAGCCCACATTTGACCAATGACACAGCTGTAGAGTTATAGAAAATAGAGATTCTCAGAAACAAGCTTACTGTTGCATCTCTTAATAATCTATATTACTTCACACTATTAAGTTTATAGATTGTATTTTAAGTCAAAATTACCAAGTTCACTTTGCTAACTCTACTAACTCTGTTAGGCAATTTCAATAATGTGTTAGCATCAAGCTAACAAACTAAGATAGCCTATAGTCCTGGTCCATCAATAAGAAATTGTGCCCCCCCCCCCCCCCCCCCCCCCCGAGAATAATGCACCAGCTACCACTGATCAATGCATCTATCCATTAATGAGTTCAGCTCTAGATTCAATAACAGTTACTTCCAGTTCTGTTTTCTAAACAACGTTGAGGAATTTGAACGTGAAAAGTCATTTCATCTTTTCATGTCTACCTCAAAAGTCGACCTGATAAAATACACAATACTATGATGTAATCATAAACAATGCATGTGTTGGTGGTGACATGCTTATTCAAACAAAGAGATTAATTGAGACTTTGAAATGGAACATATTTTTTTTCATCATATCTCAGCAGTTCCTCAGAGTTGTGGTCCATTGTAATATCTGACTTTTCCAGTTTAAATAAACATTCAATATCAAATATGTAAATGTGTCAAATGTAACCATCAAAAAATGACATGAGAACTAAGAGAAAGATTTAAGCTCCATATGTTCTTGGTTGATCTTTTCCAAACTAGCTGTGAGTTACTGAAAAATGTGCTGAAAGTGTTGAGGAACTTGTGATTGTCCACTATTTATTCATGTGAATTAGATGTTTTTTGGGGTTTTTTTTTGGGGGGGGGATAATAATCCAAATTAGGCAACATCATTATGAAATCTAGTGTAGTGTTAAATCATTACTGCATTCTGTCCATCTCCTATGCAACAGGTTTATGATTAGATGCTTGAGTATTTAGTCCTTAACTGGTAATCATGCTCTAAATTCCTGCACAGGTCCAAATCAGTTCAGTCATTCCAGCCTAAACACACCGGTGTCAAAACCCCAGAGGAACCAGCAACCTAGTATCCTACAACGATTTCAGGTGGATTCAGGTGTTCCCACCTATCTCACCTTCAAACTCCGGATCTCGTTCAGGTGCTGCTGGAGTCTCCGGTTCACCTCCCGCATCAGATTTCCGTGCTCCACAATTACGCCCCTCTTCTCCGCCTCTGCCCTCCGCAGGCGCCGCACCAGCTCCTCTTTGCCCCACTTCAGCAGCTCCTCGTCGTTTATTTTGGAGATGTCGTCCGCTGGACCATCTGCGCTTTTGGGCAGCTGCTGCTGCTGTGAGCCTTTCTCCATCCTTTCAACTCCACTGGAGGTTGCAGGGGGGGAAAAAGTACTGTGTTTGCTAAATTTGGGCGAACAAGACACCAAACCAAGCCCTCCCAATACACCCGGGACACTCTGATCCAACACGACTCGGGTTCCCCCCACCCACCCTCCTTATGCCAGTGGAATCACATCGCTCTCATTTAGGTTGCGCCTCTCTCCCACGCCCATGCTGCAGCTCCTTATCCACCCGGTGATCTGCTGCTTTATCCCCGCTGTTAGAGCATCGCCCTGCATGCTGCTGTGTCTCCGGCTGAGCCTTTGCTTGGCTTGGCGGGGCGGTTTCTCTCCAGGTGCATGCCCGGCCGCCTTGCGCACTCCCGCTGCTCAGTGCGCACTACTGCCGTCCAACAGCAGAGGAGGAGGACAGAGGCAGGAAGAGGAGGAGGAGGAGGAGGAGGACTGCAAGGAGAGGCTGCAGGTGCATAGCCAGGAGAGCCAGGATGCTTAGGTGCGATAGTAAGGAGAACAGAGAACTCTCTCTTTCTCTCTTTCTCTCTCTCTCTCTCTCTCCTGACGCCTCTTTGTCTCGTTGCGCCATCTGCTGTTGTAGTTGTTACAAACTACTACTCTCCTAATGTTTTGAAAACTACTACGCCCATCCTAACTCAGATAAGATGCAACTATGAACTGTTCTTTCTGTATTTCATATCCATATAGAGTTAAACGCTTATCTCAGTGTTAGTTCCTCCATCTGTTGCAAGCCATTTCATTTGCAATTTTTTTATTCAACGATTTTGGGAGGGTGTCATTTTTATCTTTAACCAAATACAAATAAAGGAAGATACATGTTTGTTTTATAATAACTGAGGCTATAAGTATTGTCACTGAAAAAACACTCCTAAATGTAGGCCTAAGTATTAAAGACCGTATTTTTGTTTCCATTGTAGTTGTGTATTGTTTTAATCTAATTTGTGTTGAAATAAACATGTCTGTTGGAGTAAATCAATCTACTGCACAGTAATTGTTAAGGTTTAAGCGCATTTTTGGCAGATCCGATTATTTCTATCCTGATATTCTGTGGAATGTGCTTTAGTTGAGAAAGAGGTTTAACTGTCTAACTCATCCATACTGTAACTGCAACGAATTTGCAGGAGTTAAATTCAGTATGTACCTCTGAGATGTAGTTAATTTAGCCTGTAGGGTTGCATGGAAACAGCAGTAATTGACTAAATGCTAGGTTGTGCTTTAAGTTAAACCCCTAAACAGAGACTGGTACGTAAAAAAAGTAGGAGATTACAAGACGATAAAAAAAACTCAGACACTTAGGTTGGTGAAGCAGTGAGAGACAGTGGAATATCTGAGCACTTGGGGGGGGGGGAAACACAGGTATAAACTAAAATTTCCAGAGCCCCAAATCACAGCAAAAAGAGTACGCAGAGCACTCCTGAACTAGAAGGAATTATCTGGTAGAGTAGTGGAGTGAAGACCGAAGGTACATATTCACAAACACTCTGACAATCCTCTAAGAGAGCTCCTAATTTATTTTAAATAATCCACGCAATGATTTTAAGGCGAGGAGTGATTTAGGAACATTAGAGCGTGCAACTCTGTGCAGGGAAGTGACAGAAACTTTAAACTTAGTGAGGAGGTGTGGTTGACCCCGTAGGTATGACACATTTTTTTCAGAAGCTGTGATTGGGGTAATCCAAAAAAAAAAGAGAAAAAAGTCAAACATGGAGTCAAACACTATGAAATGATCATCTGTGTGATAATTTGTAAGATGTATATATTTTACAAGTATACAGCCTACAAGGTGTTTGAAATAACATGCTCATGTGCAGCAGCTTCTTCACATGCTGATCATTACATCACCATAAAGAGTATTAATTAGTGATTGGATGCACCTGTGGAGGTAACCACATGGAGAGTAATGCTGCATTCATGTGCTGCCGGAGTTGGGAAGTCGTTCCTCTGTCTTCAGTGAGTTCACATGATTTCACTTTGTGAAGTCTTAATGTTGTAACAACAGCAAAAAACAGCGTTGATGCTACGAAGAAGAAAATCATTGAAATGTTACTGTTAAAAGTGATATCTGAGCAAAAAAACTGACGTGCAATACGTGAATTAATAAAAAGTATGTTCACATTAACAAATCATATTTTGATTTGATTTGATGACGATTCTGACGTCAAGTCGGGAAGCTGGGCACCTCATTCTTTTCGAGTTTCTGAGTTGTTTTTCAGACTCGAGCAGTGTTCATGTGCTTTTTACGACTCAAAAGTTGTTTCTCCGATGTGTACGACACCACATGAATGCACCAAAACTCAACATGCATGTCTCACTTTGTACTGAAAAAAGGGGGTCAGCCCTATGTTCCCACATTTCTTTGACATTTCAAAATAATTTCCCTTCAATTTAAGCCCAATCCTCCCGCAAGATTGTTTGGAAGCACTGTTTAGTAAATTAATGAATGAGTAATTTTATTTCGATCAGCAGCAGCAGAAATCGTCACAATCATTACAAGAAAAAATAAAATAGGCTGATCGGCTGAAGCAGAGCTTATAGATGCAGAACCCTTGTTTTAATTTCCTTAAGTCAGACAAACAAAACCAGATAAGTACAAATAAGTTTTGGAAAAAAACCTTAGAAATGTGAGAACATAGACACGCTCCCCAAAAAAAGTCATGGATGGATTAAAAGGTCTGCAAAAATAATTTTTGTCTGTTCTGCCCAACTATGAGTCGAAAATATTCTTCATGTAGTCTTTGATAAACATTTCTCTGTTTCCTCCTCAGCTTGAGAAACTCTTCATCCTGTTAAAAGTCCTCCTCACTATTCCTAACAGTTTTATACCTGAGGAGTTCTCTTAAGGGTTAAGACACTTTGTGAATAACTTTCATCTTTACAAGGATCTAGTCTCAACTTTGAGGGGAAATGCTTCGAAAATGTCCTCATTCAAAGAATGTTCTTAGAATCTTGTCACTAGGAGTAACTCTTAGTACTGAGGAGGCTTTTTGAATATCGCCCTGCGGGCTTTTATTGTCAGGTTGATGAGCTGAGTGGAGCCAGATGTGCCTCGTCTGCTGCTTCTGGGGTGGAAGAAGCCATTAAAGAAGATATCTGAAATCACTCAGACATTTTTTTTCAATACTGTTATCACTAAATACAAAACACTTTTTCTCCATTGACATCACCAATTGGTTTCTGAAGAGCCATTTTGAAGCTGAACAAAGGCAGAGCCAGATAGGTAGGCCTGTCTCAACGTAACTTTCAATCGACCTTGCAACAGGCAAAAAAAAGGTGGAGTTAAGGCAGGCCTCATTTCAGTCCATATTTCAGTCCACTCAGCCACACTCCTAATTATGCAAAATATATGCATAACCCTTATTAAATCAAAATGGAAGTGTGAAAAAAGTAATCCCTCAACAGTTTCTACCAATAAACATGTTTATTTCTGCTGTAAATGGGTATATTCATTTGAGACGGGGGATTCATTGTAGAGCTTAGATTGGACCCAAAAAATCATCCCCAACACAACACAAGTTTTAAAGTGGACTAAAGACAATGCTTGTATATTTTCATGGTGTTTTGATACTACCTTCATGTTTTATGACATTAAGATAATTCCCGTATTCATAATTTTCTTGGTCATTGGACAAATCGTGACAGTTGTTAGCAGAATATCCTTTGTAAAGAAATACCGGGTAATGACTCAAGCATTGCCAAAAATAATGGATGCAATGCACTTAAATTTGAATAAAGGCAGCAAAAAAATTAAATGTTAATAAACAAAGTCAAGTAAGGCTTTCAAAGTAGAGCTTGTAGAGAAACAGTTAAATATGTATCTTTGATTCACTGTCTTTTCTCTCCTGATTCAAATGTATATATTTGTATTAAATCTAAGACATCCTTCTGAGTATGAACCTGCAGAATCCTTAAATATTTATTTTACATATGAGGTATTGAATGAATCTTTGGCGCTTCAACTCTACAGGGAAATATGGTGATCGAAGATGTCTTAACAGCAGCAGTATCTTTAACCCCATGGAGTCCAGACCCTGGTGGTGGATGTGTTACCTGATGATGGCGTCTGGGCGTATGGGATGAAGAAGCTGATTGAACTGTGAAGACTGGGGTTGATGAGAAGATGGTTGATGATGTCATCTGAAGCTGATGGGATGAAAGCTGATCTAACTGAAGAATGGGGGTGACCGAAATGGCTGATGGGATGAAGAGGGTAACCAAACTGTGAAGTCTGGGGTTGACCTGACGATGGCTGATGCTGTGATCTGAGGATGATGGGATGAAGGAGGTGATGAAACTGTGAAGGCTTGGTGGTGATGGAGAGGTGGAGGGTTGCACGTAAAGATTGCATGAATGAACTGGTGGAAGAAAGAAGGCCATATTTTAAAAGAGACAGCATCAATATGATAGGCTAATGATGAGTCACCTGATTAAGTCAAGTATGTTATTTTAAAACTTTTTAAAGAAAGAGGAACTGAACCAAGGACTCCTGGGTAAAAAAGGTCCTATGTTATTTGATCTCATCCACCACCTTTTATACTACAGTTCATGAACAGACTTCAACAGCAATCACAACGACAAGCAGGAGTGATTTAAGAGGTACATTCAGCATTAGCTGTTTAAGAATTGATACTGTGTAATGTGAATGTTCTGAGACATGTTGTGAACAGATAAAAATAAAACACAAGATAGAAAGCTACACAGATCCCTGCAGTAAAGCTGCTCTGGGAACATGATTTTAGCCTTGATCTTATTTGCAGTTATCATGGCTAAGATAGCTTGTGCACCCTTCAGTGTAAATCAGTCCAAACATAATCAGTGCATGTGCAATAAAAAAAGATATCAGTCAGAACGAACTGAGTGTGGAGATGTTTCAGTGGCTGTCACCAACTATCTTTTGTTAAAGAAAAAACAACAAGGGAGTGTCCGTTTGACCTGATAAACTGGTACATCTACGTCATCACTCGTTTAAAATCAGGCGCAGAGTGTCTGCAGAGTTACTTTGAAGAGCTGCAGGAAAGATGGAGCAACCACTGGTCCTGCTGGGATCTCTTCTCCTGGTGTCGTTCTGCAGCGGGCATGACTTTTGTCGTGAGAATAATTGTCCTAACTTCACATCTGTTGAAAAAACCAACGTAGGTTTGAAAGCATTTTTTTTTACATACACACACACACACACACACACACATTATGCTCTGTGTGTTATTTTTTCCTGAGTGTAGAAAAAAAAACTGTTTCTGTTTTTCTGCAGGATTACGAGGAACGTTTGTATGAGGCCACTGATTGGATCACCACCGAGGTTGAACATAACAATTTATTTGCAGCACATTTAAAGCTGAAGGATTACTGCCAGAGACAGAAGGA